CCTTGATCTCTCTGAGGCATCTTGTGATAGGTCAGTCTTTGTCCCTTGCTGTGCCAATATCTCGTCTACATTAATCTACATCATTAGTAAAATGAAATATAATACTTTTACATAACCATAATCATGGCACCAGGGTTTCCCACAGGATTTTAGCATAGTGCTGATGCAACTTCTTGTCAGTGGATTTTCAAGTTGATCAAAAATTATGAAAAAACCCTGTGCTATAATACAGGGTATTTTGACAAAAATCACAAGGAAAGAATTCTCCATTTCTATAATTTTTTCTGATACATATACATGTTCTTATGTTGTGTATCAACTTTGAGCTGATTCCAATCAAATGTAAATTTTTTATAAATTTTAAAAGTTGCTCCAAAATTGAGCCAAAGTACCTGTACTATAGTACAGGGATTTTTGGCCAAATTTTCCCAAAAATGAATAGAATTTTTTTTCCATTTTAATAATTTTTTCTGATACGTATACATGTCCTTATACTGTGTATCAACTTTGAGCTGATTCTGATCAAATTTGGACTTTTAATAAATTTTTGAAGTAGCTCCAAATGTGAGAAACCCTGCATTAGCATTCAGTGATGGATGGGTTGAATACCTGTGACTGGATCTTGCTCACTATAGTAGCAACTTCCTCACCCCATACATTCTGAAGAGAAAGGTAAGCATCAATACATACAGCATATAGTGATAATAATTTAATTCTGTTACTTTTTTGTCGGCTTCAATCATTGTTAGTCTAGCCATCAGGAACTCTAAATCATCACCAAATTCTTCCTCTAGCTCAGCAGGACTAACTTTCCCTTTGCTAAAATAATAATAATAGTAATAATAATAATAATAATAATAATAATAATAATAATGCAATAATGGCCTTCAAGCTAATGTCAGACCTCATCCAGTGAAGTCTAAATTCTTTAAGAGCTCCTTCATAATCCTTTTCCTTCTTCTTGGGAGGGCCAGAGTTACCCCTGCTAGCTTTAGGACCAAGAATATACTGAACAGGATACACTACCTACAAATATAACCATAAGAATTATAGTTTGTATTTATAAGAATCACACAAGAGATAAGGATCATGATAGAGAGCATAATTACTTTCTTTTTGACTAAGTCGTTCTTTGATAGAGTGAATGTTCCAGTCAAGAAATCACCAGGACTGGTGTTAGGACCTGCTGACTTACTTACTCTATGAAGAAAATAGAATTAGTACGTGTACTGGCCATGTATGACAAGGAGGTACCTGTCATCTGAAGGCCCAAATACATACAGGGGTAGAGTAGAGCCTGGCCTAGCTGTTATGGTGGATCCCCACTTGGTCTGACCGCAGCGTGTTGGGCTAATATCCACTAGTATGTAAGTAGGCATCTTGATCTCAATGGTGATAGGCAGGTCCTTGAGTGACTCCAACTCTGATCTCGTAGCATGACGAACCTTAAAGAAGTGACAAGGAGAAAAAGAATACATTAATTTATTGAAGGATCTTAATTGCTACTACTATCCATGCATTGACGCATTACCTGCAGTATAACAGTATAGTTTCCTTTATCAAGTTTGACTGAGTAATTCTTAGGGTATGCATCACCAGATCCCATCAGTTGTTTATTTGAGCTGTAAACCATCCAAAGCTGACCACAGAAAGGACTCTCATACAATAAATCACTCAATAAATGAGCATTGGGTCTCACTTCACACGTCTTACTCTATAGCAGAAAGGAAGCAAAGAGTGCTTCATTTGTACAGTATCCCTCACTTACCAAATAGAAGTTGTACGTGAGTCTTAGTTCATAAATCTGTTTACCATCTATTAGGACTTGCCTTGTGTTACTCAATGGCTTAATAACAGCTTCAGTTGGCCTATTAAACAACAACACAATAAAGATAATATTTACAAGAAATTACAACAAATATGCACACAATAAAGATACTCTTCACAACAAAGACAATAAGTGATACCGTCTTGCTAGGCAATGGTGAGTTAGTTTGAATTCAGGATACAGCTCCTCTAGTCTGTAATTGCAGGACACATCAAGTCTTGTCCATGATGTGTTGGAATGCTAAGAGAGGAAGACATACACGCGTATAGCATGAAAGATATACATGTACATGTAAATGCACTACAAATACATGTACATGTACATATTGTGTACATGCACATGCACATGTACTCACCAGTATGAAGTTATTGGATGAGGGACGCAAACTATGAAATGAAACATTAAAAGACACAGTCAATGGATGGAACTCTGTCCAATACTGGGTCACGACCAGCTCCATGGTATGTCCACCCTAGCAACAGTTGCCATAACAACCGGTTACCATAGAAATAGGGCTCTTACCACGGTTGGGACGATGAGCGTGTTGCTTGCTTCTGGTTCTAGTATGATGGAGTCTAAGGTTTCTTTCTCTCTGTAAGCTTTCTCTGGCAGAAGGTGAATGGTGTGCACCCAAAGCTTGGAGCGGGTCACTTCATTGTGACTGGTAAACTTTAATTCTAATAATAATAACAATAATAATAATAATAATAATTATTATTATTATTATTATTCTCCTTGCCTGCCCATGTTGCTTCAGTTGGTACGTGAAAGAAATATCTCTTAATAGTTGAATGAGATAACTGGAGCTGAGGACAATCAAAAGTAAACCTAACATAAAGCAATCAGAAATATAATAATGTACATAAATAAATAATACTATGTGTACACATGTACATATACTGTCCACTAACTTGTCTGTTAAAGGTGTTGGCATAATAACTGTCACTGGCAATCTAAACAATGGGCCTTTGTCTTCTCTGGAACCATAACCAAGAACCTATAGGGAGGGAGGGGATAACCCAATAGGAGGATAGAAGGAAAAGAAGAGGAAAAGACATTAAAAATATTTTAATGAACTTACTTCAGCATAATGAGCTCCTGGTTCAAGACCAGATTCATCAATAGTAACACTAAACTGCCTTCCTATGAAAGAAAGAGAGAGAGAGAGAGAGAGAGAGAGAGAGAGAGAGAGAGAGAGAGAGTTGATCATAAACCAGATGGATACACTAACCTGATGATGCTAGTATAATGTGCTTGGATGAGTGGACCCATGGCTGTGTAGGAACAAGAGTGATCCTCTCGGTAAAGTCCAATTTATCACGAGGGCCTAAAATCCAACCACATGTAGTACAAACATAAATAACACAAATAATAATAATGCTCATAGTTACTGGTGTCCTCGGGGAAGCAAGGATCAACTGTGACAAGGTGATGAGTGGATCGCTTGAAATGATGAGGCTCCCTCAAGTAGATACCCCTACACTTTGACTGCTGTCCCTGTAAACCACTGACAGATACCTGCACATTACATGTATATGTAGTAGTAGTAGAAGGAAATAACAGTTAGTAAAACACATTCAAACTACAGGAGTATAGCCACTCTTACCCTAAAATCAACTGGGGTAGTTGGCAGTGTAGTAATCTCTCTGAAATAATCATAAGCTTTGTCAACCTATGCATACAGTAGAGGTAGGGTAGGTTATAATTACCGTATA